TGGTAGCGCTGACAAGGGGACTGTGCCTGGTGTAGCCGAGCAGCCGTCTCAGCAGCCGCAGGTGTCGCAGCCGGACACGCACCAGCCGCAGCAGCAGCCCTCGCACCAGCCGCAGCAACAGAGGCGGGCGGGTGGTCTCCAGCCCGGGTGGCCTGGCGCTAGTGGTGGCGCTGGACGTGGTGGTCGTGCGCGTGGTGGGCTGTCGCGAGGCGGTTCGGGTGACGGACGCTGTCAGTACCTGCTCCAGACCGGTCCTCGCTATGGCTTCGTTTGCGGTAAGATTGGTTACACCTCCGTCTGCTGTTTCTGTCGCCTGGACGACCTGTTTCGTCAGCGCTTCGGCTCGTCGCCCGACCTCCCCGACTGGCACAGCTTGCTTCACCATAACGTTCAGATCTTTGATTTGGACATGGATGAGATTGTTTCTGCCCTGCATGTGATGTATGCTGATGACTCTAGTGTGACTGCTTCTTACTACCCCTTGTTGCCTAGTGTAGGCATGTATAGTCGTGCCTCCCCTGCTGCGTCAGGCGTAGGATCCCCTGCTTTGTTTAGCCTTGGTTCTTCCATCGCTGCTCCGACTCCGGACGCCACTGCCGCACTCTCCTTCACCTTGGACTCTGGCGCTTCTCGGTGTTTCTTTCGCGACTCCACTACGCTGACGTCGCTTCCTGCTCCTGCTGCAGTTTCTCTTGCTGACCCCTCCTCCAGCCCGGTAGTTGCCCGCAGTTCCACCACCCTTCCCTGTCTGGCGGTTCCTTCGGGCTCTCTTACAGGCTTGCACATCTCCTCGTTTTCTAGGAACCTAGTTGGTGTTGGCTCTCTCCAGGACCTTGGCGTCACCACTACGTTCCCTGGTTACGAGCGGTGCGCTGTCTGTATCGAGGCCGCCAATTGTGCTCCCCTCACCACGTTCCCCCGGGACCCGGTGTCCAGACTGTTCACACTGGACACCGCGACCCCCCCGGTTGGGACGTCCCCTCAGGTGGCTGCATCTACCTAGGTTGCTGCTGCCTATTCCTGTCGGTCGCTCACTCACCCGACAAACCTGTGGCACCACTGTCTAGGTCAACCTCCACTCCCGCGTCTGCGTCACATGTCACAGCACGGTCTCCTCCTAGGTCTCCTAGGGTCGTTCCCCGAGCTGCCCTCCTCCCCAGCACTATCGTGCACGCCCTGTGTCGAGGGCCGGCTCCGCCGTGCCCCTCACTCCTCCTCGTTCCCCCCTACCGCCGCACCGCTACAGACTCTGCACATGGACGTCTGGGGCCCCGCCCCCGTCTATAAACCGCGTCGAGAGCGCTACTTCCTAGTGCTTGTCGACGACTGCATGCGCTACACCACGATGTTTCCCTTGGAGCAGAAGGCTGATGTGCCTGACGTTCTCATCATACGGCTTGTCTCTGCGCGTGTCCACCGCGGTCTCCCTGTCTTGCGTCTCCACCCCGACCGTGGCGGCTAATTTGCCTCCGGCCTTCTTGGTCGTTTCTGTCGTGCGGAGTGCATCACCCAGACGTTCACCTTGCCGGACTCCCCACAGCAGAATGGGGTCACTGAACGATGCATCGGTTCGGTCATGGAGGTGGCACGTACCTCCATGATCCATGCCGGTGCACCCCATTTTCTGTGGTCGTTCACCGTTCGCTACGCCGCTCACCAGCCTGTGGCTGCATCCCCAGCAGCCGCAGGTTTCGCCGACCCTTCTTTGGTCCGGGTCTCCTGGTGACGCATCTGTGTTCCACGTCTGGGGCTGCCTTGCTCACCTTCGTGCCTCTGGCACAGACAAGCTCACTGCCCGCACCCTCCTCTGTGTCTTCCTCGATTTCCCCCTTGACTCGTCCGACTGGCACTTCTACCACCCGCAGTCTCACCGGTTCTTTCACTCCCGCGACGTAACCTTTGACGAGTCCGTCTCCTTCTACCGCCGCTTCCCCCACCGAGGTCCCCCGGTTACTCCCCCCGTATTCCTGGTCACCCCTTCCCTGGTGGCCCCTGCCCCTCCCCCTCCCCCTCCCCAACTTGCCCCGTCTGGTGTGTCCCACGTCACTGCGGCGCAGTCCTCGCCGCCTGCCCCTCCCAAGGTGTCCCCTCCTCCGCTGCCTCCGCAATCGCCGTCGCCACCGCTGTCACAGCCGCCGTCACCGCCGTCGTCGCCCCCGCCGCAGCCTTCGTTGCAGCCGCCGCCATTGCAGCCGTCGCCGCAGCAGTTCGTTGACTCTGGGGGTGCTGGAGTTAGGGTGGGTACTCGTCCTGGGGTTCCTGACGTGGCTTGTCCCGGCGGGCCTGGGGGTGGTACCGGTGCTCGAGGGGTTTCGGGCTCTGGGGGTGTTCTTTCTGGGGGTGCTGGAGTGGAGTGTTCTGGAGGTAGCTGTGGAGCAGCTTGCGGTCCCGGAATCGGTGCCGTGCCACCGCAGCAGCAGTCACCGCCGATGTGAGCCCTTTGCCTATTCGGACTTCCGTCCCCTGACCCTGCGTCTGCGCCTCGCCTGTTGTCTCCTCCTCTCCCTGTCTACATCCCTCTGTTCCCTCTCCCGGATTCGACTCCGACTCGTCTTCCCCCTTGTTCCCCTCCTGTGTCCCCTCCTCTGTCTCCTGACCCGACTCCTCCGTCTCACGTCTGGTCTCGCCGTCCCTCCCGTGCTCACCCCGTCTCAACTGTCCCGCGACCCTATGTTGCTTCCTTCCCACGCATCTCGTCCTACCCTCCTACCATCGCCTCCTCCGTCCTCCCTTGTTGTTGCGCCTCCCCCTCTGTCTGACTACGTTCGTGTCGCTCGTCCTCTTATTCCTCGGGTTCTTGCCTGTCTCGTTACCGACTCGTCTTTTCCGGTCTCGTGTCTTGACGCTCTTGTCGCTGCGGTAGCTGGCTTTGCCTCTACCCGCTGCCTTGACTACGCCACCGCTCTGGTCTCTGACCCTGCCAGTCCTCTGTCTGTCGGGGGTGCTCCTGCCCTCGGCAGTGACATCCTGGAGGACCGCCAGTACGAGCTTGCTTTCCTGTCCGAGGCCGCTCCCCATCTCTGTTCCATGCTGTTAGTCCCTGAGGGTGACCCAGACGCTTTCGACATCCCGACCCCTCGCACTTACGCTGAGGCGACCTCGGGACCTTGGGCCTCTCAGTGGATAGCTGCCATGGAGCAGGAGATGGCATCTTGGAGATCCACCGGCACCTACGTCGACGCAGTTCCCCCACCTGGGGTGAACGTAGTCGATGGTCGCTGGCTCTTCAAGGTGAAGCGCCCTCCTGGAGAGCCGTCTGTGTTCAAGGCGCGCTACGTGGCTAGAGGCTTAAGTCTGCGTGAGGGGGTGGACTTCTTTCAGAATTTCGCCCCGACCCCGAAGATGACTACTCTTTGGGCACTGCTACACGTAGCAGCACATCGTGACTACGAGTTACACTCCCTCGAATTCTCCACTGCGTTTCTTCAAGGCAGTCTACACGAGCAGGTCTACCTACGCCGACCTCAGGGTTTCACTGGTACCTTCCCTCTTGGGACTCAGTGGCTCCTGCGGCGCCCAGTCTACGGCTTGCGCCAGGCGCCCCGCGAGTGGCACGACACGCTGCGTGCTACCCTTGCAGACCTGCAGTTCTTTCTATCCTCCGCAGACCCCTCGCTCTTCGTTCGTTCTGGCCAGACTCCGTTCTACATCCTTGTTTATGTAGACGATCTGGTCTTTGCCACTGCAGACACCACCGCGCTGGCCTTTGTGAAGGCTGAGCTGCTAAGGAGACACACCTGCGCTGACCTAGGAGAGCTGCGCCACTACTTGGGCCTGCAGATCTCCAGAGACAGAGCAGCGCGCACCATCACTCTCACCCAGTCACACTTGGTGCGCCAGGTCCTTCAGAGGTTCGGTCTTTAGTTCTCCTCTGCACAGCCTACATCTCTTCCAGTAGATCACAGGCTCTCTGCTCCAGTCCCTGAGGAGTCAGCAGTGCCCAGTGGTCCTTACGCAGAGCTGGTGGGTTGCCTCATGTACCTGATGACTTGCACTCATCCAGATCTTGCATACCCTCTCAGCATCCTGGCTCGCTTTGTGGCCACAGGCAGACACAGACCTCAGCACTGGTCTGCAGCTTAAAGGGTTTTGTGTTATCTCGCGAGTACATCAGGCTTGGGGTTAGTGCTGGGAGGACGCAGGCCAGTGGTCCTTACTGGGCACACAGACGCTTCTTGGGCAGACGACGCCGAGACCCTTAGGTCCTCACAGGGCTACTGCTTTAGTCTTGGCTCAGGTGCTGTCTCGTGAGGAGCTACTCGCTCTTCGTCTGTTGCCCAGTCCAGCTGTGAGGCCGAGATCTACGCCGGTGCCATGGCGGCACTGGAGCTCCGCTGGCTTACCTTCTTGCTCACTGACTTGGTGAGCGGCCTAGCTCTGTCCCAGTCCTGTACGCTGAGAATAGGGCCATGATCCCCCGGTCTTGCCTCATTGGCTATACTAGTAGTGCCGCCTTGAGCTGCTTGTTCTCGTGTTAGGCACTGCCCCTATATAGTCTAGGGGGTGTGTCAAACGTATCTTAGTATGTTACTGTAGACTATAGAGGTTTGTGCCTTAGAGGGTACAACTCCCGAGCTTATATTACCTTGTACTCTCCTATTCTAACCATTATTCAGTTTTGAGACCTTTGACGTCTCTAGAGAAATATGAGGCGCGGGCTTTAACTAAACCAGGTTCTCGGTTTGGTTATTTTGTGGAAACAAAAATACCTCGCCACTTGCGCTTTCTTTATCGTCCAATTTATTTGCCTCGCGCACCAATCACATTCTACCTTTCCCAACCGAGCGTAAATATGAGACGGGGGCTTTAAGGAATTTTCTGTGAGCATGTAAGGGTTACTTCTTCCCTTATCAATATAGAAAGTGTACTATGCGACGTTCTGCTGTTCAGAAACACCGTATACCGCACTGTACCGCATTCGCTGCATACAGGCCATCCTGTCTTGGGATAATCGCCTACCCGATAATTAGGTCACCCCATATTTTGACCTCCATATTCTCTAGGTCTCGCCTTTCAAGCTTTTCCTCACCTCTTTTATCGGTGCTCTCGCGAATGTCACATCTCTCCGCGCTTACCGCACGACGCCATCGCAGCCGAGTCCTAACGTCGCACAGCCCCGCTGGCGACGCTTTGTGCGACCCTGTGCGAGGGACCGGCGCTTCGTCGCTGCTGTCGCGACACTGGACTGCACACACCGACGTTAGTACCAGCCTCGAAACTGCTGCTGCTGCCGCCACCGTTACTACCTCAGGCTCGTCGTATAATAGTGTTTTTGGAGATGTAGGAATTTCCAGCGACGTAGGTCGTTCCAGCGACGTAGGTCGTTCCGGCGATGTGGGGTTCGGTCGTGGGGAGCACGGCGGGCTGCTGCCGTGGAAGGAGCGGCTGAAACGGCGACAGCTCGAAGCAGCCCTGAGCCATCGCGAATCGCTCCAGGTGGGAGACAAGTTGAACAACCCACATCCAAGTCCGTCTTGGTAGTAGGGTAGTTTGGTGTCAGAAAATAGCTTCTAGATTTCTTACGAGCCGTTACACTATCGTGATTCGGTTTATAGACGAGTTTGTCCAGCCCGGGTGTTTCCTGTTGCCAATAACGAGACCAGGCCAAGTTGACAATAACGAGGCCAGGCCAAGTTGACAATATTTCCCACTCGGAACGGGGTGCAGTCTTCTGGGTAGTTCTATTTGCACGCCCGGTGCAGGTTAGAACTTGCAATTAGACCACGTGCAAGCATTACCATCAACTTGCACACCATGTGACGTCAGCTCTACTTATGATGTGTTTGTCGCCATGTGAAATTCGCTCTATTCCCCCTCCCCTCTTCCTCTCCCCCCACAACAGGGACCCGCGCTGCAGGCGCGCCTACGCCTGGACCAGCGCCTGCGCGCAGCAGGGATCCGCCCTCCGCCCACCCTAGAGGAGCTTCCGCGGCTTCCCCCTGGGCCAACTTCCGCAGCGTCCTCTCGGCAAATTACAAACGGCCACGTGGCAGAGGGGCCCATCATGACTGCTGCGGTAACAGCTTCCAGAAGCGTCAGCCAAGCAGCTTCCTTGCAGGCAGCTGGCAGGATATCGGTAGATGACACCACTAGGGAGAGGGTAACTTTGGGTATTACCCCGACTGGGATGGGAGCAATGTCGGCAGACGGTGAGGGTCGAGAAGGAGGAGGAAGAGGACAATGGGAGAGGGGAAGAAGGGGTGTTGATGGGCGGGAGACGGTTGAAGTAGATGGGAGCAGCAGGAGCAGCATGAGGCACCACAGAAGCAGCAGGAAAGCAAGTGGTGGTGCAGACGAACAGGCTGAGCTCGATGGCAGGAGCTGTGACACGAGCAGCAGCCAAAGCAGCAGAAGCAGCGGAAGCAGCAGGAGTAGTAGAAGCAGTGGGAGCAACAGTACCAGCAGTAGCAGCAGGAGCAGTGATGCCAGCAGGAGCAGCAGTGGGAGAAGCGGCAGCAGTCGGAGCAGCAGCAGCAGCAGTCATGAGCGTAGCACTGGGAGTGCTCGTGGTGAGGGCAGCAGAGCACAGCACAGCAGACAGCAGCATCACAGTAGCGCTAGCAGACATGCCAGCACTAGCGCTAGCAGGGAAAGGAGCAGCAGCCGCACCCACCACCATCATCACCACCACCACCACCATGAGCAACATCAGCATGCATGGAGCAGCAGCAGTAGCAGCAAGAGTAGTGGAAACAGAAGAGGCAGCAGTAGCCGTGGTTCTGCTGGTGGGCCTGATGAAGGGGGTGGTGACAGCTGTACACTGAGCAGCAGGTGCATGAGTGCTGGATTGGGTCTGAATGGACTCCTGTCAGCTGGGGATGCTGTTGATGATGTATGTGATGGTATACGACGCATGGCTCTGGCACACTCTGGCGGATGTGATTCTAACAAGGGGAAGGAGAAGGCTGATTTCTGTGCTGCTGCTGAGGCTACAAGCGATTCTGACAGAGAAGAGGATGGGATGATGGTGAAGGGGGATGGACAGGAGTGCAGTGTGTGCTTGGAGAGCATGGGTAATGGAGCCTCTCTGATGTGGTTACCCTGTGCACATGGTTTCCACCATGATTGCATCATGACATGGGTCATGGGAGGCCATTCAAGCTGTCCCTGCTGTCGCCACCCATTATAGCCCTCAAAGCACATAATGTACAGCGCTCTACGTATGCCTAATCTGTTGTAATGCTTCATATCTTCCCCACTATTACAAGTGGGACTAGCATGACTCGAGAGTCCATGTTGCCATGTTGTGTTGTTTCTTGTTGATTATAAAAAGTATTGATATGCATTCGTATATGTGGAGCTGATGATAACAATGATCTATTTCCTTGCAGAACTCCAGTCGCAATATCGACATTTTTTCTGTACAACCAAGATCCTCCTCGCCCTCCTTCCAAGAATCCGTCAGCCACTCGCGTCACCTCCTGAAAGCAGGGTCCGACGTCAGCATCGCCTGTGCTGACGCGACACTCTGCCACCCGCTACATGTGGCAGAGCATCGGCCATTCTTCGACCCTCGCTTTGCCAGCGTGGGATCCATCGTCCTCGGAGTCATATCCGATTCAGGAGAAGCAACGCATGCATGCTCGGTTTCTGGAAGTTGCCCTACCAACGTGCCATGCCATACTCAGGACGCGGTGCTTCTGTAATGAAGCTCGAACCTCACGTTCAGAAGTAATGATGGGTGAAAAGTGGTGTAGACCTAGTAAGAAGGGTTCCACGTGGTATAGCTTGGTATCGCTGGTCGTTCAAGTGCGGAAGCCTGTTCGAACCAAAAGCATGTACTCCCCTCACATCAGCATTGCTCAGCAATTGCATCTCCAATTGTGAAGTGGAGCCAGCGTATTCTAGCAAGCCAGGGGATATACTGGTAGCAAGCCAGGGAATATAGCGAGCCAAGTTTCTAGGCTGCTTGTAGGACGGAAACTGACTTGTTATTCTTGGCGTAGGAGACGGTTCAGTTTTCAATCAGCCTTGCTTGACGTCGCAAGGTACGGAGGCGTCGCGTGCGGTCAGGTATCGCAGAAAACGCATGATTACGTTTTGCCGTCCCAGTATTGCTGGTTCGATGCTTAGAGGTTCTAGAATGCTTTGGTACTCCGAATTCGTTGTCTCATTGCCGTGATATTGGCGGACTGAAAAGGAGAACATACTCACTTACGCTGTCACGCGCTATCTGACATTTCCCTGATGTGCTTCCATGGTTATGCTGGCGTCGAGATCGGATGGCTCACTACCAATGTCAATCAGATCCTCATGGCTGGCCGAGTCCACACACTCCTTTCCCATTTCCGTCCCTCCAAACAACTACTTAATGCAAACTTGATAATTAACTTCTTGAACCATACCGTACAATATTTCCCCATTACTCCCCTTCTTCCCGCCTCCTTCCTTTTCTTCTTTCCCGTATTCTTTTCTCGCTCGCCGGGTCAGATGGCGTCGCAGCTCTGCTGCTCGGCCGCTGCCAGCGGCGCGCTTTCCGTGCCGTCCGCGTTACAAGCCAATGCGGCATCCGCTACCAGCGCCAGTGCCAGTCTTTTCCCCTCATACACCGGTCTGAACCAGTTGCGCCGCCCTTCTCAGACAGCCTCCTCTGCTACCACCCTCCCTCAGGTGATTCTAATCACCACCCTCAGCACCCTCCCCCTAAGGTAACCCCTGGCTCACCAACTTTCCTAAGGTAACGATGTAACCCTAATCATCAATGTTGCTGAGATTGTTACATCCTCTCGAACATGTTACAATCACTGGCTTCGCTTGCATCGCGTTGTTGGATTCCCCTTCAGCCTGAAAGAATGGCTCCATTGTGGTTCACGCACGAAAAAAACTCTTTTTCCCCTGCAGCTCACCCTTCTTGTGAGACCACCCGTCTCACCTTCCTCCCGCTTCCAACCCCCGCGCCTCTTCTCGCAACGTCTGTTGGATTTGCAGCGCAATGCGGAGGGGAAGCAGAGGCAGAGGGCAGTGGGGGTGCGAGCTGCCGTCACGCAGCAGCCGCCAGAGGCACCGGCTGTCAAAGAGGTGAGTAACGGGTACCGAACACCGAAGGGTTGAGAGGTGCGTAAAGGGTGCCAAACCCTTAGGGCTGACAGTTGAATGGTGATGTGTGAGTAACGGCTAGCAAACACCCAAGGGCTGAGAGGTGAGTAACGGATACCAAACACGCTATTGGAACTACCCAACCCCCCTTCCGGCGTCGCACCCTCGGCGCGCACCCTCCGCCGTTGATTCCTCTAGGAGATGGACGTGCAGATAGTCCCTCTGACGGACGACACGTTCACTCCTCTCCACTCGGATTCACTCCCCTCCCTCCCCCCCTGCTGCTCGCAGGAGAAGGACGTTCAGGTGGTCCGTCTCACCGACGACACCTTCACCCTGCGCGGGCGGTGCTACGAGCGGTTCAAGTTCGAGGTGGAGTACGGGCTGCGCGCCGGCACCACGGAGAACAGCTACGTCATCGAGGGGCCCGAGGGCGCCGCGCTGATCGACGTGCCGGACAGGGCATTCGCGCGCGCCTTCGTGGATGCTTTCGTGCGCGAGGCGAAGGACGCGGAGCACCTGGCGTACCTGATCATTGGACACCTCAGCCCCAAGCGCGTGGATAGCGTCATCCAGCTCGCCAAGACGCACCCCGCAGGAGGTGAGTGCGTGACACTGAGCACTGGTGATTGAATGATGAGACTGCGAGTCAGAAGCTGGTGATGGCCTGCGGTCCGCCAAGGGCGCGGAGCACCTGACGTATCTCATTATTGAGCACATGAGCCCCAAGCGCGTGGATCGCGTGATCCAGCTAGCCAAGTCGCACCCGGCAGGAGGTGAGGGACTGAGTGGTAGAAAAGGCCCACCGGGAGGGAGGGAGGTGGTGAGTGAGGAATGCGGTTGGTGAAGGCCCATAACAGAGATGCATACGAGTGAGAAATGTGCCGTACTGAGATTGCTCTTCAGTCAACTCGAGATATTTCTCAGAAAGAAGGCACAGCTGGATCGCACCTATCATGCGTTCACATCACACCTTGCTGCTTGCAGCTATGGCTCCTTCCTGTAACCTCGAGCTCCCCCCATCAAGATGTTTCTGCCGAAACAGTGCACCATCATTAAGTCACACCTTTCTATATTCCCACCCCCTCCCCTCCCCCCACTTCCCCCCGCCCCATTCCCCCCCCTGCAACCGCAGAGCCCCCCATCAAGGTGTTTCTGTCGAACCCGGCGCATCAGACCCTGACCTCCCTGGTACCGGCGGACATCCTGGAGGCGACGTTCGACCTGCAGATCGTGCGCGCAGGGGACACGCTGGACCTGGGCGGCGGGCACCAGCTGCAGTTCATCCTCACGCCCACGCCGCGCTGGCCTGACGGGCTCACCACCTACGACCCCAAGACGCAGCTGCTCTTCACCAACAAGCTCTTCAGGTGCGTCTACTGGGGCTGACTACTCTAAAACATCCCCCTCCCCTCTTTTCACCTCTCTTCTGGACCTGGGCGGCGGGCACAATCTGCACCTCACCCTCACGCCATCGACGTGCTGGTCGAATGGGCTCACCACCAACGACCCCAAGACGCAGCTGCTCTTCACCAACAATCTCTTAAGGTCCGCTTCTTTGGTCTGTCCGCCCCTGTTCTGTTCCCGTCCGCCCCTTTCCCCCGGTCGGCTCCTGTCCCCCTGTCGGCTCCTGTCCCCCTGTCGGATCCTGTCCCCCTGTGCGCCCCTGTCCCCCTGTGCGCCCCTGTCCCCCTGTGCGCCCCTGTCCCCCTGTGCGCCCCTTCCCCCCTGTGCTCCCCTGTCCCCCGTACCAGCGCCCATGTGTGCATGGGCGAGGACTTAGATCTAGGCGGCATGGAGCCACACTCTCTCACCCCCTCCGTCTATCCTTCCTTCTTCCCCTCCTGCTTTCCCTGCAGCGCCCATGTGTGCATGGGTGAAGATTTCGATGTGGGCGGCATAGAGGCGTATGACATGCACTGGCGCTACTTCTACGACTGCATGCTCGCCCCTGTCGCCAAGCAGGTATGGCATGCTCGCCCCTGTCGCCAAGCAGGCATGGCATGCTCGCCCCTGTCGCCAAGCAGGTATGCCGGCAGGCTCGCCCCTATTGTGCGTGCTATTGTCTCTCCTGCGTGCTGCTGTCATCAACCATGTATACCCCCATTCACCCCTCGCATCCCCATTCACCCCTCGCATCCCCATTCACCCCTCGCATCCCCATTCACCCCTCGCATCCCCATTCACCCCTCGCATCCCCATTCACCCCTCGCATCCCCATTCACCCCTCCCATCCCCATTCACCCCTCGCATCCCCATTCACCCCTCGCATCCCCATTCACCCCTCGCATCCCCATTCACCCCTCGCATCCCCATTCACCCCTCGCATCCCCATTCACCCCTCGCATCCCCATTCACCCCTCGCATCCCCATTCACCCCCCCCCCCCCCCTCGCATCCCATTCACCCCTCGCATCCCCATTCACCCTCCTCCCCACCCCTCGCATCCCCATTCACCCTCGCATCCCCATTCACCCCTCGCATCCCCATTCACCCCTCGCATCCCCCATTCACCCCTCGCATCCCCATTCACCCCTCGCATCCCCATTCCCCCCTCGCATCCCCATTCACCCCTCGCATCCCCATTCACCCCTCGCATCCCCATTCACCCCTCGCATCCCCATTCACCCCTCGCATCCCCATTCACCCCTCGCATCCCCATTCACCCCTCGCATCCCCATTCACCCCTCGCCCCCCCCCCTCGCATCCCCATTCACCCCTCGCATCCCCATTCACCCTCCCCCCACACCCCTCGCATCCCCATTCACCCCTCGCATCCCCATTCACCCCTCGCATCCCCATTCCACCCCTCGCATCCCCATTCACCCCTCGCATCCCCATTCACCCCTCGCATCCCCATTCACCCCTCGCATCCCCATTCACCCCTCGCATCCCCATTCACCCCTCGCATCCCCATTCACCCCTCGCATCCCATTCACCCCTCGCATCCCCATTCACCCCTCGCATCCCCATTCACCCCTCGCATCCCCATTCACCCCTCGCATCCCCATTCACCCCTCGCATCCCCATTCACCCCTCGCATCCCCATTCCACCCCCTCGCATCCCCCATTCACCCCTCGCATCCCCATTCACCCCTCGCATCCCCATTCACCCCTCGCATCCCCATTCACCCCTCGCATCCCCATTCACCCCTCGCATCCCCATTCACCCCTCGCATCCCCATTCACCCCTCGCATCCCCATTCACCCCTCGCATCCCCATTCACCCCTCGCATCCCCATTCACCCC